CATGATGGATCCAGGCTGCGGATGGAGGCGAGTGGATCCCCCTCCCTGGTGCCGCTGAGCCCCCCTTTCGCCCAGGCTGGGGCACCCCACGAGCCAGGCGGCGAGAAGGTCCCCACCCGGCATGGCAGCGGGTGCCCCACGTCCCCCCCGCTCCGTTGTCCCTCATGAGCTCCCACGGAGCATCCTTCCCATCTCCTGTGTTTCCCACGAATATGGCATTTAAGGGGAAAAAAACCCCAAACCACCCAAAATTACATGAAAAACAACGGAAGGGCTGGATTTGACCCAAACTCGCCTGTAAAAACAGAGGTGAAAGCAGCGCGCTCTCTGCGGTCATGTCCCAAGGGGGAACATTGGCAACTTACATCACCCCAAAGAAACTGAAAGCTGAATTATTGGGGGTCCTTGGGGAGCATCTCGTGATTCTTACTTGCTCCTGGGGGTGTTGGGCAAGGGAAGGGCTGGGGGAGTGAGTGGGGGCTGCAGAGTGGGCGGCCCCGGGGCTGTGCTTTGCAGAAAATGGTTCTGGGCATTTTTTTTTCCACTCGTTTGAGTAATTAATAACTATTTTCCTAGGCCTGACTCCAGGGCGCAGGGAAGAACCATAAATGATTTATCGGGGACATTAGGGAGATATGGACCTTGTCCAGGAACTGACTCCAGCCCCTAATAACTCAGCGACTCTTAGGAAAGAAGGATAAATCCTTTCCTTCTCAGATCTTTTTTGGGAATGTGGTTTCATCTTCCCACGTCAAAACCTTTCCGAAATGCATCCGTTAGGACCTGGACAGAGAAGGCATCATTCTCCCAGGGGAACAGCTCAGTGACTCTCCCTGCCTGCCCCCCTTCCAAAAGAAAGGGGTGCTCTTTTTGCCTGATTTATTGGGAAACAGCCCCAGTGTCAAGCCCCTAGCTTGCTTTATCTTGCCAGGTCATGGCATTTAGATAAGGGCTGAGCTCCGGGCACAGCGATGACCGTGCCGGGCTCCTTCCCCTCCCTTCTCCCATGGGAGCCTACGCTTGCGGCATGGAGGGAGAAATAACTGCTCCTAGCTGGCATCATTGCCAGCCCCCCCCCGCCCCAACATTGTCTCAGGAAGGAGCGAAGTGGGAGGCGTTGGTGGAGGATGCTTCTCATCAGGGGCTGAGATTTTTCCATGGTGTCCCAAGCATCCCAGGTTTTGCTTGGCTTTGGAGAAGACGGGATACCCCAGCCCATCCTCACAACCACCCTTCTCCTTGCAGAGGACACATACGCCTCGGAGGAGCTGGTGGACCAGCAGCCTGTGCTGCTGAAGGTGATGGACACAGCCGACCAGGTGAGGCACCAGGGCACTGTGGGTGCCAAACGCCCGGCGTGACATGGCTGGACCACGGCTGGACCATGGCTCAGCCTCTCCTCTCACCCCCAGGATGGCCCCGGGAACTGCGAGCGCTACCTGCACTGGGCCAGCGCCTTCCTTGTTGTCTACAGCATCGATGAGAGGAAGAGCTTTGAGGGCTGCCAGAGCTACCTGGAGGTCCTCGCCCTGCATGCGAGGGGCTGCCAGCGCCGCTGCCCCGTGCTCCTGCTGGGCAACAAGCTGGACATGGAGCAGTACAGGTATCAGGCGCAGGGCAAGGCTATTTTTTCTCAGTGGGGGAGAGCTCATAGATCCCCCCCATCCACCCAGCTGGGTTGCAAAAACCAAATCTGATTTTTTTTGTGGTTATTTCCATCCCTGTCGGTATTTGCCATGTCCTCCCACACCTCTGAGGTTCCTGTTCTTGTGCCTGGGGAGGGTTGTGCTTATTTTGAGTCTGTTGGTATATTCAGTGGGATGATTTTTGCTGCGTGGTAAGACAGTGTCACTGTCCCTGGACAGGGCTTGAGCCCGCTCCAGCAACTCGGTTGCCTCTAGATGTGCCCTTTCCCTGGAGCGCTTCCTCGCCCCACTCCCGCTGCCAGGACTGGATGTCCCTGGTGTGTTTTTCTGGTCTTTTGTGCCACTCTAGGGCCGTGCTGGTTCCACGGGTCCTTGAGTCACATGAACCTCTCCCACGCATTGCCGAACCTCCCCACACTCCCAGCATGGATTCTGGCAGGACGCTTCCCCCTCCCTGCAGCAAGGACCTGCCCCATCTCCTCCCCGCTGCCCAG